TGTTAAATGGAGAGGGGGGGGGGGGTGTGAAAACGTAAAAAAAATCGAATTTTTTTTGCATAAGTTAAAAGCCTCCATTATTGACACTATAAGAGTGATCCTGAATATTTGAATTTTTTTATCGTGTTTCAAATCAATATTGTCAACTTTTTTTTACAGGACACCTTAATCATTTTTTTACTTGTATAGTTTAATTAATTAACTTTAATAGCAATAAATTTAATAATTATTATATCAACTTAAAACCAACAGGTCGAATGTTTGTATTATTGACAGCGCAAAAATTCAAAGAGCCGATTATTGACATACCACTGATCCTATTATTGACAGATCTTTTATCATAGTTAAATTTATATTAACAATAATCATTTTTACTAACTAATGCAAAACTATCAATAATTTTTATTATTTTAAAATTCGTTTAAGACCTAGCTTTTCTGTATTTTTTACCTATTTTTTCTAGTCTTAAATACTTTGATTCTTATAAAATCACATGACAGTATGTAAATATTAATATGTTGATATGTGTGTTGAGGGGGTTAAGTTATTTTAGATTATGGCTTATGTCGTTAATTGACGCAAGTTAATTTTTGTGTCCCCATCATTGACATCCGCTACTTTAAAATTAATTTTAACTCGATAAAGTATAAATAAATGATTATATGGTTATTTAGACTATAAATCATCTAAAATAACTTTAAACAATGCAATTACATAAAAAAAAACATTGAGAAATCCGGATTTCAAAATAAGGTCTTTTTTAACGATATTGTAAAGAAATTACAAACGTATAAGCAGTTTTGGCCTACTTGAAAAAATGAAATTTTTTGCGATAAATAGTTTATACCTTGGAATTAAATTTTACTATTTTTTAATTTAAAAAATATGTAAAATTGTCATGAAATATCAACAATTGTGATTATTAACAGATTTTAATAATGAAATAATAAAATTAAGTAAAGGTGTCAATAGTAGGGGCCCTGTCAATAATAGAGGCTTTTACCTTAGTTAAAATAACATCTTAAAAATATTCCTGTAAATGTTTAGGGTAAAATTCACATTATTTATCGATTAAAAACTCATTTAAGTGCTCCGTCTCAGGGCTAAAGCGTGTGTCAAACTTTATACGTGTTTTTCTCGAAACTACTTTTTTAAATTCTCTGGCAAGATAATTCAAAAAGTTCTCAATTATAATGAAATTTGTCACAAAAAAAAAAAACCTGATTATTGTATTTAAATATATAATTAATCAACATACTGAATTTGAAAACGAAACATTTATTCTTTTAAATTAATTTTTTATATTAAAGATACGATACACTAATTATTTTCACCACTAAAAAATTTTGGAACTTATTATAAGTATTGTTTTATTATTAATTTATCAACTCGTTTCGTATTAATAGTTCATTTATTAAAATTTAACAAAGCTTATTAAATATTGAAGAATCCTTCTATCATTGCAATTACATCCGAGATATTTTAGCTTTTTACTCGTTAATTGTTTTACTTTAAACAATTGTGTATTATTAACTTCGAGACGGAATATTGGACGGGAATAACCGATATAGAGTTTGAAATATATATTATACATATTATATACAATATAAATAAATATGCTGAGCTTATAATTCGCAAAGTTACTCTAGTTATTCTGAATAATAAATATGATTTTTTTTTTTTCAAAAATTTGTTTAAATAGTTCTTTCGATGAAATAAAAATAAAAATTTTATCTTTAATTTTTGTTACATTTGTTTTTGAAACAAAATCATTTTTTGTTAATAATTTACGGAAAATTTTCTTAATTTTTTTTCATTATGAATATCTCTAAGCTAAGCCTTATTGTCCGCGAGTACCTTAGTTTATATTTTACAATAATTATTTTCTTATTTTGATTATAAGTATAGTCTATGTGACTTAAACGTTCAAATTATTTTTGAACTCATAAACGCGGTACATTGGAGAAAACTCTTGAGTTTCTTTGTCTTTTTCATCATCTGTTTCATCCTGATCGGGTTTTGATGATCGGTATATACGGCTTCTTTGATATTTAAGTCGACCTGAAATTATTTATTCATTAAATCAAAGTTTAAGTTATTTAATAAAAATCAAAATTTTTAAATTAATTTATCATTCTTATTATTATTACTAGTATTATTTAAATCTTTTAATTTTTATAATAATAATAATAATAATAATAATAATAATAATAATAATAATAATAATAATAATAATAATAATAATAATTTTTAATTATTTATAAAATAATTTAATGTTAAAAAATTATTTATTAACAGTTAATGAAGATTATTAAATAATACTAAATTCTTCTGACTATGAATGCAAAAAAATTACTCTGAAAATTTTTTAGTGAATTTAAAGCAGTATACAGATAACACAAGTGTCAAATGTTCCATACAAAAGCTTATTAAGGAAGGTAGTACGAACCCTTGGCCAGGTGGGGATAGGTATCGACTCTGGCGCGGTTTTTTTTTTTCATAATTATATTTTATTGATTCTTACTATTTTTTGCAATTATAATCAGCTTATAAATCTTTAATTAATAATTCCTGGTCCATCGTTGAGCTTTAACTTATTTTAGATTTCTATACAGATTAATGTTAACAATATGTATCCTATATTTTATTATTATACTAAAATTGATGGTAGAATGAAGTTAGCTTAGTATCGAAAATCATGGACCCTGATTTCTTATTGGTTGAGATTTAAATTGAAGTTAGCTTAGTATCGAAATAACGTTCAGAATTAGAGCGCGCGCGTATGCGCGCAATTTAAATTCCTAGTTTATTTGATATTTGTGACTTCTTAGCGCGGTATGCGGAAAGCAGTAACCTTATAATTTTTCTCAATATATAGGTTGACGCTTAACATTGGCTAATGCCGGCATTTATTTTTTTTTAAATTAATACACTTCAATTAGTCGGGCAAGTGTAAATTTTTTTTAATTAAATTTATCACTAATATATTTACATCCATAAGTTACTTTATAGTTATGTTCCATAATATATTTTCATCCATAAGTTTTTCAAAAATATTCCCCGACAGTTTTACGAGAAAAATACAGAAATGTATATCAATGTTTGGAGCTACCCCATAAGACCAATATATAAAATTGCACAACTTCAAAGTTAATTATTTATTTAAATAATCATGAAAATGAAGTTAGCTGACGATTAAAAATTTTTAGAAATTTTTTATCGAAAAAATTTCAATTAAATAATTAAAAAAAAAATATCATATGTTAAAAACTTGAAAAACTATAAGTGCAATTTTTTATAAATATCATTTTAGTTGTAATTTAATTAAAAAAAAAAATCAAAAATTTTTAGACGTCTGCTAACTTCAGTGTCATAAATAATCGGGCAATCTCCTTCAAATTTTCGGAATTTATTTAGACATATTTAAACTGCATTTAAAAATAAAAGTTTGGAAAATCCAAAAGTGCACGCCTCATAATCTCATTTTTCACAATAAAATTGATTAAAATAAAATATAAAAAGCAAAATAATAAAAAACAGAAAACTCTGCTATGGTTTAGTGGCGCCATAACTGTAAGGTGAGGAAAAAAAAATACTATAATGAAATGTATAGATAGATATACAAAAAAATCCACAGTCATATATTAGTTTTTCATAAATAATAATTTAACGACAGTGAATTGAACGCTCATATTAATTAGGAAATTCCTTCATGTGTTACTTTAGATAATAAAAAAAAAATTATTCTGGTACGATAATTTTTTCGACCTATTTCCCTGCTACATACACCCATCCATACACGGACGTCCAGAAAAAATTATGTTAAATGTTATTATTTACTATGTATATCTTATGTGCCTGACAAATTATTCGACTTGATATAAGTGTACTCATATTAACCTATAAGTGCGATATAAATAACAAAAAATCAATTTTAGTTTCGAGAAAACTGCTTTTTTTGAAATGTCGAGAGTAGAGCACAACCTCAACGCTTCGCTTATGAGGCGTGCAAAAGAAATCAAGCCTTTTATCAAAAATTGTCTTGGTGCTCGTACTACCTTCACAGTAAAAAATATTGTGTTATTTATGAATAAAATATAAGTATAATCTAAGAAATGCTAAATTAATTAACAAATTGAAAATTACTTAGACGAGTGAATCTCCAAAGTTTGATCATTAGTAAGTTCAAGACGTACGGAGGTTCCGATAACTAAGTCATTAATTAATATATCAAATATCGCTATTATTATAATTATTGTTACAGTAAGCGAATAATAACAATACAGTTTGCTTCCAAAGTATACATATAATAATGCTTATGCTGTTTCCGTGACGGCAATAATATAACTGATACTTGCCGTAAAGTTTATATTAACGCGTTTCTCTGTTTTGCTCGACTGATCATGTTCATCCGACTGAATTAATCAGATATCATTCATCCTGACAAGTACGTCGTTCATAATAACTTTGATTAGTGTAATCACAAATTATCTTATTTAACTAAGTTTGTTTTATTCTCCGGTAATTTATTTCAGAGTGAAAAATTTTTTTTTGTTAATATAATATTAGGAGATTCTTAACCATATATTAAGTATAAACTTTTTTATTATTAAAAATTTTATTTTTGAGGTCCTTTATTTTTTGAAAAAAATCTTGTCATTTGAATTTTAAAAAAGTTTGGTAAATCCAAAAGTGCACGCTTCATAATCTTATTTTTTAAAATAAAATATAAAAAGCAAAATAATAAAAAACAAAACTCTGCTATGGTTTAGTGGCGCCATAACTGTAAGGTGAGGAAAAAAAATACTATAATAAAATGTATAGATAGATATACAAAAAAATCCACAGTTATATATTAGTTTTTTATAAATAATAATTTAACGACAGTGAATTGAACGCTCATATTAATTAGGGGAATCCTTCGTGTGTTACTTTAGATAATAAAAAAAAAATTATTCTGGTACGATAATTTTTTCGACCTATTTCCCTGCTACATACACCCATCCATACACGGACGTCCAGAAAAAATTATGTTAAATGTTATTATTTACTATGTTAAACAAAAAAATTGTTATTGAAATATATTTTATGTGCCTGACAAATTATTCGACTTGATATAAGTGTACTCATATTAACCTATAAGTGCGATATAAATAACAAAAAATCAATTCCAGTTTCAAGAAAACTGCTTTTTTTGAAATGTCGAGAGTAGAGCACAACCTCAACGCTTCGCTTATGAGGCGTGCAAAAGAAATCAAGCCTTTTATCAAAAATTGTCTTGGTGCTCGTACTACCTTCACAGTAAAAAATATTGTGTTAAATACAGTCAACACAAAATTAGTGTTAAAATTCAACACAATTTTGTGTTAAAATGACACAAACTTTTTGTTAAAACAACGCAAAGTGTGTTGAATTTTAACACTAATTTTGTGTTGATTTTACACAATATTTTTTACTGTATTAAATTTACGTAGTTGATTTTCCTATGCAAAGTCGCATTAGAGAAAGAGAGGCAGGAATAACTTTTAAAAATTTTTTATTAGTTATTATTATTATTATTATTATTATTATTATTATTATTACTATCACATGCTCTGAATCTGTACTTTTAATTACGCAAAGTATTCAATATGTGATTTTTTTTCATTACCTAAATTTTTATTTAAATTTGAAGGTCATTTTTTGTAAAATAAAATAAAAAGTGTAATTTCTCATAACCATAAGATTGATATGCAACCCAAAAACTTTAAAAGGTTAATATTTATTTACTGGTTCACTTGAGCTTTTCAAAAATTTTGTGGGCTTACTATCTTACTACAATTTAATAATACGTCAAATTTCATAAAATTTTGAACATTAAATCTCTATCCATGGATACTAATTAAAGTACTCAAATTTTATAATTCTAACTACGAGAACAGTAGTCACCTGGTGGAGAATTTTTAAATCAACTTTTTGATCCCGTTAATTATGCTTTTTATTTTGAATTAATAAATTTTATTTCTTAATAGACTGATAGAAGAATTTATTAATCATATAATATTTATCAATGAATAAAAATAAAAAATTTAAAACTAATCAACCAATAATTACTAACGAATTGAATCATATACTTACAAGGAGCCAACTGATTTTCATCAACCTGATCATCTGAAGTAACCTTTTCAACATTCTTCAAATCCTCGTTCGAATCAACGGGTTCCTCATAATTTTTGAGCGGAACGGTTCCAATTATAATGTCCATCCTAATTTTCAAATTCTTGTAAAACATTTTGTAGTACCACTCATTAATATCCGCAAAAGCTTCAACTTTGAGCTTGTACTCGACGTCGATGAGGTTACAAACGGTTCCGGAAGGCGGAATTGCCGGTAAATCAAACTCTTCATTGTAAACGCAATTGTTTTTATCAATTGGCTGTTCAATTTCGACGACTATTTCTTTGTGCTTGCGCACACTCTCCATTGACCGGTACAAAACAACCTGGAGTATAAAAATAATTGAAATCAAATAAAAATTTATCGTCCGCGGGAGAATCATATTATATTTATATTTAATAATAAAATTAACCTTTTTTAAAACAACGCGTAACTTTTTAACGTCAATATTTGAAGAATTTTCAAAATTAACTTTTAATGGAATTGTTTGACCTGGTACGTATCCACGTACCGGAAGGAATATTGACACAGTCAATGGCTCAGCGTGTCCCATAAAAGTTTTAGCGATATTTTCGCTTATGGGTAACTGAAAATTTGTGACAATTATTATTTGTATGATGTATTAATGCAAATATGTATGGATGTATGAATATAAATATGAATATATGAATATGTTGAGATAGTAAAGAGTTGAATAAATAAAATAATATAGAATGTAGTAGACTGATAACAAAGTTTACTCGGATAATAATAAAAATAATAAAAATGCATACCGGTGCCAAGGGATGATTATTCAAATCAAAAATAGGTGCTACTGTAAATGACAGTGTATCGGAATATAGTTTTATATTTTCGTTTGTTGTATTCAAACTGGCGCATATTGAGTAACGTACGCGTCCGTACCGGCCCTCGAAACTTGATGGTAATTTATCTGGCAGTTGTATATTAAATGAAAAATCATCACTTTGTATTTTGGCTTCTGTATCTGAAATTTACAATCGTTCTTTTAGTGTTGTTATTATTATTATTATTATTATTATTATTATTATTATTATTCCTGGTCTGAGCATATCCGAGTTATTTTTTCAATAACCGAATAAAGTTTCACTGAGTAAATAAAATAAATTCTTTGCATAATCTTAATTAAATAATAAAATTTTTAATTATTAGATATATTCACCCGAGGACGGTATGAGTGCTCATACCGACAATAATGTGGTGTAAATAAATTTAATAAATAAAAATTTAATGAAAATTAAATTAGTCAAACATCAATTTGGATCGGGGATAATGGCTTTGAAATATGAACTCTTTATTTAGTGAAAACACCGATCTTCGGAAATAATAGAAAATTATTATTATTATTATCATTGTATTGTGCCGTGAAGAAATATCTGACTTATTAAATATATTTGGAATTTTCAAGATAACAATTTTTTTAAATTATCAAAAATAGAATTTTTAAAAAATTTGGATACTCCAATAGTGCACGGCTCATAATGCTCATTAAATTATGAAATAATAATAAATTAAAGCGAATTTGAAAAAAAATACTAAACAGTTGAACTAGGACGATAATGCGCGGGTGCATAATTTTGATGTTTTTTTTTTCCGCTTCTATTGCACTTAATAAATTTTTAAAAAGTATGCATTTAATCTCCATTAAATAATCTTGACAATAGTATGTAAAATATCTCGATTCCGTGAACTAACAAGGCTACAATAATAAAAATATTTGCCGAACTGAGGCAAAAAAATTTTACGATTGTAAAACATTCTTTGGTGCTTCGCATCATGAGTCGTGCAAAAAAATTTTTTTTTTAATTTCACTAATTAGTTTTCAAAAAATTTTAAAGTAAAATTTTTTTTCATAATTTTAAATGGATAATAACAATTATCATTGATGTGAATAAATTTAGGTATTATTATTAGTAATAATAAAGTTATAATTTATTAATTTAAATTACCAAGTAATTCAATTTCTTCATGCAAATAAACTTCTTGAGATGAAAATTTCCTTTTAAATCCAGCTGAGCGGTTTGTAAACTTGACGTGTCCTTCTCCTTTACATATAACTTTTATACCTGAAATATGTTTTCAATTATTTATTATATTTTTACTGACAGTTTAAAACCCATTAGTTGATTGATTCTGTTTTTAACATAAAAAAATTATAAATATAATTATAAAAAATAAAATAATCAATAACAACAATTTAAACTATATAATATACATATCCTCAGAGCACTCAAATTTAAAATCAGAGATAATAATACAATTTTAAAACAATCAACCTCAATATGTCACTGTAAATAACTACCAAAATAATATTTACTTATACAATTAATTTTTCATCAATTCCAAAAATATTATGAGCAAAGCGCTATGTGAATTCGAATTTAACTTAATGATGATGAGAAGATGAATTTGGTTCTATAATTCAACATACAGTGGCAAAATCTTATCAATTAGTTAAATTCATCACCCAAATCTCAGACCGAAAGAGAAATAAAGAATTCATTTCTTAAAATTCAATAATAAAGGGAATCATAGTGAGTCAATTTAAATATAATCAGTAATTTCAAATAATTGAGAATCTCGACCTCGATAAGTCACCTTAAAATTATTCAGTTGTTTTAAATCTTTACTTTTTTATTATTAATTAAATATCTTTCATTTCTTAAAGTTAAACATAAAAAAATGTAATTCTCATTTTAATTGAATTATCAACACAGATCACTACACTCAACGGTAAAAGCTTTGATTAACTTATCATTTTCTTATTACATCTCACTTGACCTAATTGAAATTTGAATTGAATTTTAAATATTAATTAGATTAAATTTAATTGTTATTCATTATCATTTGACAATTAAAATATGGATTGTATTTTTCAGTAAAATCGATGCTTGTAATGGAATCGTTTGAATAAATACATCAAGCAAAAAAAATATTTTAATTAAATTTAAAAATTCAGTTCAATAAAAGTTTTTAGTCAATTCATCAATTTGGAAAATTTTTATTGAATTTTTAATAATTATTTAATAGAAATATTGAAATAAAATTTTTTTTTATAAATTACGATTGATTATAATCAATGTTTTATAAAACATTTTTTTGGAGAATAAATTAATATGTTAAAGGGTCTTAAAATCATATTTGAATTCAAAAATTGTTAACACCAATTAAAATCGAAATTATGTAATTGTTTAAAGAGTCTTACTGATTTGTAACTTTCAAAAAAAATTTTATTTTTTTTTTTGCATTTTTCGAAAGTAAATGCAGCTTAAAGTATTTTGTGTTAAAATTTTAAAGTAATCGGACCACTGTAACTATATTATTTTACGATGTTTATGTGGATATTCGACTGGAAGAAAATCAAATTTTTGAAAAGGCTCAATACAAGGGATTTTTTATGAAACCGGCATCGCTGATTTTGATTTTTACTATTTTTTTAGGACTACAAGCTGTGAAAAAAACCTCATTTTTCAGTTTTTTTTTTTTTTACTTTCTGTCATTTTGTTATTTATCAATAAATATTCATCTTCGTTGCTGGTGCAATAACTACTTATGTATTGAAGGTAAATAATTTTGGTTTTAGTGTTTTAGATGAGCCGTTATCAAGTTGTCATGTATACGGAAAAAAGTAAACTGTATAATAAATAACAGTCGATTTATAATAAGTAATGATCAATTGCTAAAAATTATCATTTCAAACAGTAAAATCGTGATTTTACTATTCACATTGTAATATTTACAATTTAAACATTAAAATTTACTCTTTACATGGAAGTAAATACTATTTCAAACAGTAATATTCGGTATGTAAATGTCTAAAATGTTAAAGTGTAATAATTAAGAATTCAGACTTTGATATTTATTATTTCGTACCTAAAAAATGATCTTATGATATGTAAAATATCGTTAGTAAATTTCTAATACAAGCAACGTCAATGTTTACAAAGTAAAATGGTAAATTTTAAATGCAACGCTAAAAATCAAACTGTAATTAATTATTGACTTGCTTGGACTGGTAATATGTATATTTTAAAAGTATAATTTTTACTGTTTGAAGTGTTAAATTCTCCTTGAGTGAGATCCCCTTCTGTTTCATCTGAGTTCCCCTTCTCTTCATAATATGGACTATATATTGAAATGGCAATTTTTACTGTTTGAAACTGTAATTTTTAAAGATGAAAGAGTCGTTATTTACTATAGTGACAACTACTAATCACTTATTTTGGATATTAAATTATAAATTGTGGCTTTTATACTTTCTACATTAAGTTCTGTAATATTTACATTTTTGCCACCCCGATGTCCTCTTTACTGTTTGAAACTATAAAAACTAACCGGAATCCGAGTGAATATTACAGTTTACTTTTTTCCGTGTACGTCAGCTTTATAATACTAACGTTTCGGAGGAGTTCCGTTCACCGGTTATTTGTTCATAAAAAAACTATAAAAAAAAATAAATAGACGATCTTAAATCAAAAACTCTCAAAATAAAATTTTAGCTCGATTATAAGGGATACCAAAAAATTGATAAGAACCTTTTTTATAAAGAATTAAATTTCCTATAAAAAAGATTTCTAATAATTTTTTTATATCTTCAATATTTAATTCAAGATTTTTAATTTAAACCTTGAAAAAACATCATTTATCAAAACACTATCACAATTAAATTTTAAAATAAAATTCTGGCTCAATTACAAGAGATATCAAAAAATTGATAAGGGCTTTTTTTTATAGAGAATTAAATTTCCTTTAAAAAAGATCTCTTATAATTTTTTTATATCTCCACTATTTATGGGGACCCGGTGGTCTAGGGGCCTAAAATTTAAACTATTTTAAAAATTTTATTTCTATATGAAGGTAATGACTAATGCTTTTAAATTTTTTTACACTTATTCTATTACTTATCAACTACACAAAAATGAAAATGTAAACAAAAAAAAAATTTTTTTTAAATTAGAAAAATGGCGCTGAAGTTCCCCTCTCCAAAAAGTATGGACCTGACTAGTACGTGTCGATTGATCTCTCCCTCGGATCTGAAATAAAAAAAAATGACGAATTTTTAATTAGTACAAGTATAGTTATCGTCGGAACTAGAATGGAAAAAAAAAATATTTGACAAAATGGCGCATAGTTAAAAGTACGAATCTGAAACTCGTTTTCGAAAAATACTTTTAACTACGTGCCATTTTGTCAAATAGTTTTTTTTTTTTTTCATTCTAGTTCCGACAATAACTATACTTATACTAATTAAAAATCCATCATTGTTTTTATTTCAGATCAGAGGGAGAGATCAATCGACATGCACTAGTCAAGTCCATTATTTTTGGAGAGGGGAATTTCAGCACCATTTTTCTAATTTAAAAAAAAAAATTTTTTGTCTTAATTTTCATTTTTGTGTGGTTAATAAGTCATAGAATAAGTGTAAAAAAAATTTGAAAGCATTAGTCATTACCTTCATATAGAAATAAAATTTTTTAAAATAGCTTAAATTTTAGACCACTAGACCACCGGATCCCCTCAATTCAAGATTTTGAATTTAAATTTTGAAAAGACATGATTTATCAAACACTCTCAAAATATAATTTTAAAATAAAATTCTGGCTCAACTACAGGAGATACCAAAAAATTGATAAGGACCTTTTTTTTTATAGAGAATTAAATTTGCTATAAAAAAGATTTCGTATAATTTTTTCAAACCTTCAATATTTATTCCACAGCAATATAAGTAAACAAATTATACTTACTTGTAATCTCAGTGGTCGAATTTAAAACAATATAAACCTTTCCAGTAACTATTTTTCCACAGTAATAAATATTTTGTTTATCATCCAACAATACTTCAAAGCGGTCGACTCCAATCCTGTAAAATCAATACCAAATACTTTATTAAAAATCCATTCAAAGATAACTCATCCATCCTCAGTAAATCCCAAAATGCTTATCATTCATAAATATTATAATCAAATTAATCAATTTAAGTTGTTACCTATCTCTTACAGCAACACTTGAACTTTCGGTATTTGACTTGTCCATTATTTGTCTATTCAATAAAATATTTACACCATTTTATTTTTGATACACGGGTATTTACTGACCTCAGCTTCCAGTTTTTGAATAATTAACTACAATCTTCAGAGCTACCGATCAGTAATTAAATATTTATTTACAAAACGGATGCTCGCTCGATATCTGTTTGAAAATTTTCCTCTAGAGTTTTTAAATAATCAAAGATTTAATTTAAAAAATCAGAGGATTTTTATTCGAAGCAGAGCTCTTATGTCTGAAGAATAGAATGAGAAATTTGTTGACAACTTTCCAAATTAACGGCGCGTTAAGGAAAGGACGCATGCGTCTGATAGAATCGCCAATATCGTGGCGACGTTCTGGCGGCGGACTTCTCGAAATCATCCCCTATCGTATGTCTGTTTTTATTCTATGTACTTTGTACAAGGGGAAATTTATGGAAGAAAAAATAAGGAATTAATGTGTGTGATATTTACTATTTGTTATTTATTATTTAACTTATTGTTGGTTTTTTGAGGAATGACTCAAAGAGTTTGCTCTATCTCCAACTCAAGAAACATATCATAAAGTAATAATATAGCTTCTTGTTCCATTCCACGTTGGGCTGCCGTAGAACCAGAAACAAGTTTGTTTGCTCGCTCAGGGAGTGTATGTGGATTATAATTCTACCACCTTATGCTCTTGATCCTTGTGGGGGTCATTCGTTTGTTTTAACGGGATTTTACCCCATTCGTGAGCTCGATATTTGTTCTTGGTTGTTTGTACAGAATTTAGAAGCTTAGAAAATTTTTACTCGAGAAATAATTGTTTTAAATAAAAATTAAATGGATTTATATATTAGGAAAAAATGATTCAAAAATTAAAATTTGGATAATCTTGCTAAAATATAAAAGGTACAAAAAAATTATAAGAGACGTTTTTTGATTTTTTAATTTTCTATAAAAAAAGTTTTCATCAATTTTGACGTATCTCTAATAGTTTACTCTCAATCTTGAATTTAAGTCTTCGCAAAAATTTTTTCCGTACAGCCACTAAATATGAATTATTTGTCAGGATTCATGGTAGATAATTTAAATTCAAATTATAGATTAAATATTTAAGATACAAAAAAATGATAATGACCTTTGTTGTTGAAAATTTAATCCTCTACTAAATAAAAAAAAAAATAAAATTTTGACGTATCTCTAATAGTTGACTCACAATCTTGAATTCACGTCTTTGCAAATAATTTTTCCATACAGCCGCTCAATATAAATTTATTACATCAGAATTCATAGTAAAGAATTTAGGAGATCCCAGTACCCTCCTAGTGTAAAGAATGTCTATCAAAAAATGATGCGGAGAAATACTTTTGTTATGCATCTTAAAATTAACTTTTAAATTAATTAATAACATTTTTGAGGAAATTTCCAAAAAATTTACTCATTAAATAATTATTACAAGACTTTAAAGAACGGAAGTTCTTTGTGATTTTTCATAAAAAATATAAAATATCTCCGTAATACCCAGTGTAAAAAAAAATCGTCTTAAAATTGTCGTTCGTTTAAGATCTTAAACGTGACACAAACTAAGACTATTTTAAGACTCTTTTAAGACGTCAAAAGAAAAATTCCGAGAGCAGATTTTTGAAAATTTTGTTCTCGAATTTGTTGTGAAAATTAATTTTTAGACGATTTTACGACTTTCTAACTGCAATATTTTTGAGTAAGATGTTTTTAAATTGAATTTAAAATTGTTAAAAAATTATTATCTGACAAATTTTAAGACTTTTTTAAGACGTTCCGTCTTAATGTTCCGGGGCTCTGTCGCTGTTAGCCCATCTTAAAATAGTCTAAATTTTTTGTTAAGATTTTTTTTAAGACTAATTTAAGATAATTTTGAGACAATTTAAAGACGCTCCATAATAATTTTCCGGAGCTGCCACTGTGATGTTATCTGAAAATAGCCTAAAAATTTTTTAATATTTTTTTTTCAGATTTCTTTAAGGCTATTTTAAGATTTTTCAAGACTGTATAAAAATTATTTTAAAACTTAAATCTTAAAATAGTCTTGAAAAAATCTTAAAATCGTCTTGAAAAAATCTCAAAATAGTTTTAAAAAAATCAAAATAATTATTAAAAAATCTCGGAATTTTTTTTTTTTGGCATCTTAAAAGAGTCTTAAAATAGTCTTAGTTTGTGTCAAGTTTAAGATCTTAAACGAACGACAATTTTAAGACGGTTGTTTTTTACACGGGACGTTCGGAAACCTACTTTTTTTATTGTTTTAATCGAAAGCTTATTATTTTTTCAATCAAATTCAATGAAAATAAAATTTTTTTTAAATCGTTAATTGCATTAAATTCTTAAACAAATACACAGCTGGTGAAACCTCTATTTACCTACATGTAAAAATTAAAATTTTCAAACCTAATTTGATTAAATATCCCGGAAACTTACTGTTTTTAAATTCTTTTATTAATTATTAGGCTACGTAGATCGGTAGATTGAATTTAGAAATTTTAAAAATTTGACTACTTCGCGTGGATCTCCATAAAGTCGAAGTTATGAATAAAATATTCAAGATACAGCAAAATTATAAGAATGATTTTTTTAAGAAAATTTAATTTTCTACAAAAAAAGTCCTCATCAATTTTTTCCTCAAATAGTTGATTCACAATCTTGATTTTAATTATTCACAAATAATTTACATAATTATTTATATCAGGATTCATGGTAAAGAATTGAAATCAAAATTACGGCTGAATTATTAAAATTAAAAAAAAAATGATAAGAAACCTGTTCAATCGGAAATTTAATCGTCTACAAAAAAAAGTTCCTTGTAAATTTTTCGTATCTTGAATACTTCAGCCTTAATTTTGATTTTAATTATTCTCAAATAATTTATTATTGTTCTTGGATCAATTACATCTTTCTTGACTTGAATGTTCAAATTAAATTAATGGAATTAAATAATTAAATTAAGTAATTCAATCAATCTTCGAAGCATTAGTATATACAGTGAAGGAGAGTCGAATTTGAATTTAATTTATATATACGTATGCATATATTAGGTATGGCAAATCAATGTGTAAGGATAAATTCACGAGGGATCATAAATTATATTGAGTATAGAATAGAAGGGACGATCAAATTCGCTGGTTCATTGTATCAACCATTTGGACATTGGTAACAGGACTAAATGGAGTTAGTTTCCGTCGTGTTGAGTCCCTTTGCACATTAATACTCACCACACATCATACACCCGTCTCTAATTTAATTTATAATATATTGCTTGATATTTAATCAAATTTACATCTTCTTCGACAATTAAACGAATTTCACTCCAACATCACTCTAATTGTTTGTACATTAATATATATATATCAATGTTGGATAAATTTTAATCCTGATTCGTAGCCGACGGCGGACTTAATTTTAACGCGATGCAGTCTCAAAAACAGTCCATTGAAGTAATCACGGGTAGACACTGAAGTGAACTGAGCGCCGTTTAAGGTTCTACGGACACTAATGCACTTTTGAAGATCAGAAGCTAATTTTTTGATATGTTATGAATTGCTATCTCATACGTCTAAATTAATTTTTTTGAATAGATCTGTCGAAGGGTTATCCTTTAATAAATTATTAAAAAATTGAAATTTAACATGTAGCCTATAGAGACTATTGGCGGATTGCACATATATCGATTTATGTGACTGCCTCATAGGAAGATTAAAAAACAAAAAACTTCTATTTCAGTCAATCAACTTTCGTAGAATACGTTAAAAATAAAATGAAAATTTTCTGCCGAAGGCTTTTAAAGATATTTTAATGCAAAAGATGAGAAATTCACGAAAATTTCAGGCCGACATATTTAAAAATAAACAAACCACGTGATTCAGCGCAGTGTGGCAACGTTGCACAGAATAGAACGCGCGAATTTTGAATTTTAGTAATTCCTGTGTATTTTTATGGGTTATGTTTTTCAACTCAACACTACACAGTGAGATAAATATAAACAGCTGTTAAGTGCGGTGTTGTCAATTGTTGTTAATTAAATTATTAAATTATTTTATTTAATAATAATGTAAGGTAACGATTAAATTATAGTAATGAATTTTCGTATTTAAATTTTTAAGTTTAATGAAAAAAAAATATAGATTCTACTATGACTTACGGGGTACTGTCCGTGCAACCTTAAATAGAGTACAAATACACTGATGTAGTCGCGAGAGAATTAAACAATGAGCATACGTTAAACAATAGTGAATGCCCGTGAATTATACTCGTGACATTGTTCATTGTTGGTGCTATGCGTCGACAGGGTTGTTCTGTGCACTCGAGGGTACTGCAGTTTACTGTAAGTGTATCTGTTTGATGATACTCGATGACTGAATTTAGTAATCAATTATTTAGTTTACTAAAGTTACGATTATTGTGAGAATTTCTTTTTTTTTTTGGTAAGTATTTTTGATATTATTATTATTGTTATTATCATTATTAAAACTGATTAATCAGACATTAAAAGCCCATATTTTGATACATTTTTTCTATTATTGTTTTTGTTATTATTAACAGCGCATAATTACGTAAAATTACTATTATTATTGTTATTTAATGAAAAAATTCTTTTTTAATAACAGAAATAATAAATTTAGAATTACATTAACTTATCGGTCTTAAAATTTCTTTTAAAATGAATACGCACATGTATAGTTTTAATAGCAAATATCAAGCCGCAAGAAATCGCGAAAAACTGCGGAATTGAGAAAAAGTTCAAAATAATAATCTTTTTTTTTAATTTTGTAAATACAATATTATTTTAGTATAAAAAATAAGTCATTTTAGTTATATTTCAAAAAAATAATAATAGTAATATTGATACTAATCTATGTAATTAAGAGAATAAGCAAAATTTTGTGGCCAGTGTATTTATATGATAAAATGAGTATTTATGGTTAAATTTGGTATCGTTGGAAAAGTTTTGACCTGGAGTTGTGCCTTTTCATGGTTTTATATCATTCTCACCAATAGTCAATTTATGATAAGTATTTAAGCTGCATTTGTAAATGCTCTATTTCTAGATACATAATTAAGAAATGACCTTGTATCTCGTGAACTATTGACATTTTTAAAGATATAAGCTCATCCCGACATTACACTCATCGAGACTTTTCATTTGAGTACCCACATCAATTTTTCATATATTTTATATATTTATATATATGTATATATGAAAAATATATCAAAATGCATGTGGGTATTCAAATGAAAGCTCTTGATGAGTTTAACATCGGGATGAGCTTATATCTTTAAAAACGTCAATAGGTAAAAAAGTACAGTGCAATTTAACAAAAGTCATTATTTGATAAAGCAAAATTTTATTTATTTATAGTTCACAAGTCATCACGGCAGTCACATAGTGACTGCAAGGCTGCTAGTATTAATAATAATAATAATAATAATAATAATAAGTATACTAAGAGAAAATAAAAGTGAAGAATGACCCGGTAGCTTAACTGGTAAAGCATTCCGACATGTTATCGAGAAGATCCAGGTTCGAGTCCCGGCTTGGTAAATTTTTCACGAATTTTTTCAAAGTTACTTTCGCTCTCAGACGATTTTCGTTTATTAACATCTTTATACCTCGAACAGATACTAACAACTTCCAGCTTACTAGTATTCTTGTTTGATGGAGTCCATCGACCTAACAACAAGAGACAATCCCGTCTCGATCTTTAGCGAAGATGGAATGCTCCATCTCGACTTGAATTAGTTTCAAACTAGTCGAAAAATAGTGATCGCATTGGTGATAAAACAAACTCATTTAATAATAATAATAATAATAATAATAATAATAATGAGTCAAAATTTTATTATTATTATAATTATTATTGGTTGTTATTTTTATTATAAATTCTTGAATAAATGATACCCAAATTAGCAGACATCTAAAAATTTTTTAGTTTTTTTTTTAAACAAATCAAATACAAAAATTAAAAAAAAAAATTGCATGTTTTTTTTTCCTCAATTTCCTAACAATTTATTAATTTAAAAAATTCAAAAAACTGTCAGATGTCTCTTAAGTTTAGTATCACCAATCAAACAATTAATCATTAATAATAATAATTAATTAAACAATCCTTGCGTTTTTTAAAATTAGATATTTATTCAATTTTTAATTGTCTTAAAAAAATAGTTTATCATTAATTTTTTGTCATTGTCAAGTCTTTAATTATTCTAGCAATACAAAAATAATTTTTTATTAAATTTTACGAGAAGACACAAATAGTTAACCTTGATATAAAAATTTTAAATGAAATCTTTTCAAAATTGCTTAAATTCTTAATTATTACATTAAATTTAAATGAACACTTCACAATATCGCATCAATTATTAAATAAAATTTAATTCTGAAAATTGTAATGTGAATTCATTAATAATTTTCACGTCAGATACATATTTTATGTAACTGTTATAAAAAATTACAGACAATTCTGAGGTAGACTGAAGAAATATTTAAAACTTCGAAGAATTAATCTTATAAATTTTTATCTAAAAAATCTCAGTTAAAATTAAGATCAATTAGACATTTAAAGATGTTAAAAGTTTTTAAATTATTTTTTTTCAAACATTCCTTTTTAATTTTAAGCTCAAATGAAATTTTTTCTTCTTAAATATTTTCAAGTTAAACATAAATTTTCAAACAATAAAATAATTTTAAAATTAAAAAATTATATTATAATTATCGCGCTAATAAAACTTTCTTCACTAAAACAGTAACTTATTTTCAGAATAATAAATTTTTAAAATGAAATTATCAAATATATATATTTATCTATTTTGAAATAAATATTAATAGTTACGTAATAATTATAATAAATAGTAAGTATCTATTAAATAGATAACTTTTTTTCCGTATGTAAATACGAGATAGAAAATATTTAACAACAATAACTATCAATAATAAATTATTTCAAATACAATGATTATCACGATTGAGCAATACGGTTGTGAAAAATAAAAATAGTTTTGTCGATTATTTTAAAAAATGGATGTAAAAGTATAAAATAATAAATTAATCAAAATCTATCCTGTGTGAAAAAGTTTGTACATTAATTAATTAATTTTGCAAAGTTTACTGAAAAAAATAAAAAAAAAGTCTCCGCTAGACGGAAAGAACAAGATGACACTCAATATAATCCCAGATTATATTGAGTGAAAAAAAATTTCAGATAATAACTAGTATAATCCAGATAACAATGAGTGTAATCCAGATTATAATGAGTATAATCCAGATATCACGCAGTATAATCTGGAATTTTTTTTAGCTATCTGAAATTTTTTTTCACCACAGATATCACTGAGTATAATCTGGGATTATATCCAGTGTCATCTTGTTCTTTCCGTGTACAAATAATGAATTTTAAAAAAAGTGCATAATAATTTTAGAATAAAAATATTTGATCATAGTATTTTGAATCTATCAAAATCGAAATAGTTTAAAAAAGCCCGGTGTCGTTCTTCCGCATTCCAATAAATTTCCCGAGACTTTTTCTGCATTACCACGACTTGACCCTCTTTGTCTTTGTCAGACTGGTTCTGATGCCAAATGGACATTTTTTCATGGCACACGACAATTTTAAACCCCTTGTCCTTTTCTTTGTTCACATTCGGGTTGATATTTTCATCGTTATCATTACTCACTCCAATTACTCTCTTGATACTCTTGTTGCTCTTTATCTTGGGCTTACGCTGGCGAACGCACGAAGAAATAACATTAGTTTGCCATTGTCTTAAAATTCGTTTCTTCGGCGGCAAAAAATCTAAATTGGCCCCGTCACTTTCTATAATATTTGATTCAGCTTTCTGCTTGACTGACTGGATTTTAAATTCGCTGAAGTAATTATTCTCAATTTCATCTTCCCGGATTATTTGTTGAGCTTCTTCCTCAACTACTTGTTCAATTATTTCTTCGTGATCAACTTCAGGGATTGTTAGGGACTCGGTAAATCCAGAGTCGTCTGAATAATCCACCAATTTATTATCATCATTGATATTATTAATGATATCAGCGTAATTAGTGAAGCGAAGACTGGCAGCGTCAGAGAAATGGAAATCATCGGTAAAATCCGAGGAAAAATCGATTTTCACTGGAGTGTTTAATTCTATTTGACGACTCTCTGCTGGTGCCAGTTGATAATCCTCGGGAGACTGATAACTACTATCACCGCGTAATTCCGGATATTTTAATCGATAGTACAGCGGCAACTCATCCAGATCATAACCTGGTGATCCAGTCGCGTTAAATTGCCGGAGCATTAGCAGACATTTGCTCTCTAGCTTTTTTTTAATACGCAGCGAAGATCGTTTATTGCTGGTTGATGATGATGAGTAGATCTTCTGGACGCGGGTCCGCGTCTTTGAAGCGTAGAAGCGGCAGGAGTACTTCTCGTGTCGGAGGCGTTCTGAACGCTTGCAGGAAGATTGAGAGCCCAGGATTTGGTACTTTTGCTTTGAGACGAATGACTTTTCGCGTAAGCTCGGGTGACAGTCTTCTACATGGTAGTACCAGTCGGCTTTAGTGCGGAATTTTTTTCCTGAAAAAAATTTTTTTTTCAATATTTTATGGGTTTTGCTAGAAATTTTATGAAAAATTAATTATTGGTAAAGATTATAGATTTTGCCTTGAAAATTAGTTTCACTAAAAGTTTTTTTTTAAAAATGTAATACTCAAATAAATACATGTCTGATCACATTTTGATTTTTTTAGTGATTACTATAAAAAAATTCATTTAATTTTTTTTAATTTATACGAGAAATTTTTTTTTGTTATTGAAATGAGCAAAAATTTTACTATTTTTTAATTTTATTTAACTAATTTTAGAAAATAAATTTTAAAAATTGTAATTATAATTTTTAAACATTTCTACACGTGGATTGTTTTATAAACTTTTTTGGACAAAAATTTATAAATAGATTTCTGATGACATGTTGGTTTTTTTTTGTGATTATTAAAAAAAATTCATTTGATTTTTTTAATTTGAACGAGAAATTTTTTGTTGCTGAAATTAGCAGAAATTTTACTATTTTTTAATTTTATAAAACTAATTTTAAAAAATAAATTGAAAAAATTTTAATTATAATTCTTAAACATTTCTACTCGTGGATTGTTTTATAAACTTTTTTGGACAAAAATTTATTTGATAAATTCCTCATAATAACTTCAGTATCATATTTTTGTTTTAATTGTAGCTACAATAATTTACTTGTTATAAAAAAAATCATAAAATTAATGATACTGAAATAAAGAAAAGTCACGATTCTTAAAACTGTAATATGACACTAAAATCAGCAGACATCTGACAATTTTTGAAAATTAAAAAAAAATTCATTGTTATATAAAAAATTTTTTTAATTTGCACTTATAATTTTTTTTTTAATTTCTACAAGTGGAATTTCGTGCTAAATTTTTTTCATAATAATTTAAAGGTTGTAAAAAAATCTAAAAAATAATTAGTGTCTAAAAATTTTAGTTTTTTGATTTTAATAAAATATGAATTATAATAAAATAATAAATTTTTTTTTTACAAATTTCATTTGGAAAATTAAAATTATTTTATAATAAAAATAATAAATTTATATAATAATAAAAATTATTGTATAAATCAAACAAAACAACCATCAACAATTTTTGATTGTTTTCAATAATAAAATTACAAGTAAAAAAATACTAAAAAAAATATTGCACGTGTAATTTTTTAAATTTTTCACATGTGAAATTCTTTCTTTTACTTTTTTTTTCAATAAAAAAAATTAGAAAAATTTACAAATGTAGGCTAATTTAATTTTCATGCTAATTTTATAAAAAATTATCAGCTGTCTATGTCAGTATCGTAGTATTGCTATCAAAATTTTGACCCAACATTAGTTCACAATTTTAAAACATAAAAAAGAGTAAAAAATATTGACAAAATAAAAAATAAATTACCACAGCACTGCTTGTTAATTTTTTTACAGTGGATTCTGATTCGGTGTCGATCGACATTGAAATTTCTGTCGCTTTCATATAGACATTCATCACACTGATACACTTGTTTTCGGAGATTAGGCTTTCTTCCTCGTTTGTTTCTGTAAAACAATCAAAACCGTTAGTACACAATAATTAACACTGTAAATTAAATAATAAACATAACCAAAAAATTATTGAAATTAAAAAATTCAATATAAAAGAGTGTCATACAAAAATTGTAACATACTCACAGATTTTAAATTTTTACCCATAAAAAAAAATTCATTAAAAATATTTTTAAATGAATTTTTAATATCAAGTCCTTTGACATTTTTTTTTTTTTAAATTAGTAAAATATAAACATTTTCATTATCAAAAGTCAATTTTTAATTTTCTTTATAATAATTAAAAGATTATTTTTAAAAATTGCTCATAGATTTTTAAAAATTTTTAAAATAAATTTATTTAAAAAATTAAGAAAAAATATGAGTTTATTGCTGACAACTCTTAACGATAAACTTTTCTCACTCTACTAAAATGATGCTGAGATTGAGACATTTAATAATTTCTTAGAATTTCATCACAAATTCTAGCAAAAAAAAATATTCAAAGAATTCAACATGTAGAAATTGTAGAAAAACAATAAATTAAATTTTTCAGAGTTTATTTTTAAATAAATTAAAATGTTTACTGATTTCAGTGTCATTTAACAATAGAAATTATGAAAAAAAATTTTAAATGTAGAATTTGTAAAAAAAACAAGTGAAATTTTTTAAGAATAATTTTTTATGATTCATTTTTTCAAAATATGACACTAACATCAGTAGACATTTACAATTTTTTTCATTTATTTATGACATTAAAGTTCGCAGTCACTTGACAATTATTTGATTTTATTTAAAAAATAAATTAGTTCCACAAAATTATTCTTATAAAATTATAATTTTAATTTCTTAAAATTCCTACATGTCAATTTTTTTTACCATACGTTTTTAATTTTTTTTTTTAATTATTAAATTAGATCAAAAAAATATTTATTAAAAAATGCACTTAAAGTCTTTTAAGACAATTTTTTTACAAATTAATTTTTTTTTTTGGATAAAAATTTTCAATAAAAAAATGCATAAAAATTTTTAGATGTCTGCTAACTTAATTTTCATAAAAAAATATTTTTTTATTCCTCATTTTTTTTCTATAAATTTTTTTAAAAAGAAAAATTTTAAAAATCTATAATACTAAAGTTAGCCGACGTTTTTAATTTTTTGATTTATTTTCATTTATTAAATAAGAACTAAAAAATATTTTTTAAAAATTGCACTTATAGTTTTTCAAGTTTTTTACAAGTGACATTTTTTAAAAATTTTTTTGTGCCAATTTTTTTAATAAAAAAAAAATCTAAAAGTTTTTAGATGTCGGCTAACTTGATTTTCATTAATTAAAAATCATCATCTGTCTACTGATTTAATTGTCATAATAAATAAAAATTAAAATAATTTGTACTTACATAACAGGAGCAATAATATCACCAGAACCAGCTGGATATTTGACAACAGAATTATTACCCTCCATTGGAATTTATTGTTGAAACAATTAACTCTTATAAAACAAAATGTCACCCGTTCAACACAACAGCCTGGCACTGACTGAAATTCACTTTATTTTGTGAAGCGAGCAAAGGATTCAAAATATATTATTACTATTATTATTACCAATACATATTATAATATATATTGTATGTATTACACATAATGTTTGGATGGACGATGCGACACTCGTAAGACGGCACGAACCGATCAGATCTGTACACCGTGGTGTAAACACTCAACTCTAATGGTATTAGTGTCGGATTGCACTGAATTTTAGTCGTAAGTAGAAATGAAAACTCTGGGCCAATCACGTTCTCGGAATGAAAAAATATTGTTGTCAAAGTGATGCCGTCACCTTGACGCTTGACGCGCGAAGACGAAAAGACGAAAAGACGAAGTGTGTAAAGATAAGGATGTTCGATGCTTTATATTAGAGCTTACAGTGTAAGTGTGTTTGGTGGTTGGGTAGCAAAAAAAAATAAGATGTAAGCACCGGAGTTGAGTATTGTGTCTCTTATTTACACAAACAAAGTGAGTAACGGATTTGTATATTTATTATTATTATTATTATTATTATTATTATCTAAAATGAAAATTTTATACTCTTATTCTTGATTTGTTATTATTATTTATTTGTTTCTTTGCTATAACGACGGATTTTAAATATATATCTGTTTTTATTTAATTCGAGTAAAAATATTTATTTTTATAAATATTAATTTTTTATATTAATATTTATGACACTGAAGTTAGCAGATGTCTAAAAATTTTTGATTTTTTTTATTAATTAAATTACAACTAAAAAGGTATTTCTAAAAAAATGCACTTTGGTATAGTATTTCAAGTTTTTTACATGTGAATTTTTTTTTTATTTAATTGTTTAATTGAAATTTTTTCAATAAAAAATTTACAAAAATTTTGAAATGTCAGCTAACTTCATTTTCATTAATATTTTTTATATTTTTTATAAATATTTTCTATATTAATTTTTATTAATGACACTGAAGTTGACAGACAGAAATTTTTTTAGAATTTTATAGAAATTAAATTATTATAAAAAAAATTTTAATTAAAATAAATTTATTTAAAAAATTAAGAAAAAATATGAGTTTATTGCTGACAACTCTTAACGATAAACTTTTCTCACTCTACTAAAATGATGCTGAGATTGAGACATTTAATAATTTCTTAGAATTTCATCACAAATTCTAGCAAAAAAAAATATTCAAAGAATTCAACATGTAGAAATTGTAGAAAAACAATAAATTAAATTTTTCAGAGTTTATTTTTAAATAAATTAAAATGTTTACTGATTTCAGTGTCATTTAACAATAGAAATTATGAAAAAAAATTTTAAATGTAGAATTTGTAAAAAAAACAAGTGAAATTTTTTAAGAATAATTTTTTATGATTCATTTTTTCAAAATATGACACTAACATCAGTAGACATTTACAATTTTTTTCATTTATTTATGACATTAAAGTTCGCAGTCACTTGACAATTATTTGATTTTATTTAAAAAATAAATTAGTTCCACAAAATTATTCTTATAAAATTATAATTTTAATTTCTTAAAATTCCTACATGTCAATTTTTTTTACCATACGTTTTTAATTTTTTTTTTTAATTATTAAATTAGATCAAAAAAATATTTATTAAAAAATGCACTTAAAGTCTTTTAAGACAATTTTTTTACAAATTAATTTTTTTTTTTGGATAAAAATTTTCAATAAAAAAATGCATAAAAATTTTTAGATGTCTGCTAACTTAATTTTCATAAAAAAATATTTTTTTATTCCTCATTTTTTTTCTATAAATTTTTTTAAAAAGAAAAATTTTAAAAATCTATAATACTAAAGTTAGCCGACGTTTTTAATTTTTTGATTTATTTTCATTTATTAAATAAGAACTAAAAAATATTTTTTAAAAATTGCACTTATAGTTTTTCAAGTTTTTTACAAGTGACATTTTTTAAAAATTTTTTTGTGCCAATTTTTTTAATAAAAAAAAAATCTAAAAGTTTTTAGATGTCGGCTAACTTGATTTTCATTAATTAAAAATCATCATCTGTCTACTGATTTAATTGTCATAATAAATAAAAATTAAAATAATTTGTACTTACATAACAGGAGCAATAATATCACCAGAACCAGCTGGATATTTGACAACAGAATTATTACCCTCCATTGGAATTTATTGTTGAAACAATTAACTCTTATAAAACAAAATGTCACCCGTTCAACACAACAGCCTGGCACTGACTGAAATTCACTTTATTTTGTGAAGCGAGCAAAGGATTCAAAATATATTATTACTATTATTATTACCAATACATATTATAATATATATTGTATGTATTACACATAATGTTTGGATGGACGATGCGACACTCGTAAGACGGCACGAACCGATCAGATCTGTACACCGTGGTGTAAACACTCAACTCTAATGGTATTAGTGTCGGATTGCACTGAATTTTAGTCGTAAGTAGAAATGAAAACTCTGGGCCAATCACGTTCTCGGAATGAAAAAATATTGTTGTCAAAGTGATGCCGTCACCTTGACGCTTGACGCGCGAAGACGAAAAGACGAAAAGACGAAGTGTGTAAAGATAAGGATGTTCGATGCTTTATATTAGAGCTTACAGTGTAAGTGTGTTTGGTGGTTGGGTAGCAAAAAAAAATAAGATGTAAGCACCGGAGTTGAGTATTGTGTCTCTTATTTACACAAACAAAGTGAGTAACGGATTTGTATATTTATTATTATTATTATTATTATTATTATTATCTAAAATGAAAATTTTATACTCTTATTCTTGATTTGTTATTATTATTTATTTGTTTCTTTGCTATAACGACGGATTTTAAATATATATCTGTTTTTATTTAATTCGAGTAAAAATATTTATTTTTATAAATATTAATTTTTTATATTAATATTTATGACACTGAAGTTAGCAGATGTCTAAAAATTTTTGATTTTTTTTATTAATTAAATTACAACTAAAAAGGTATTTCTAAAAAAATGCACTTTGGTATAGTATTTCAAGTTTTTTACATGTGAATTTTTTTTTTATTTAATTGTTTAATTGAAATTTTTTCAATAAAAAATTTACAAAAATTTTGAAATGTCAGCTAACTTCATTTTCATTAATATTTTTTATATTTTTTATAAATATTTTCTATATTAATTTTTATTAATGACACTGAAGTTGACAGACAGAAATTTTTTTAGAATTTTATAGAAATTAAATTATTATAAAAAAAATTTAATTAAAAAATTCCACATGTGAAAATTAATAAAAATTATAAATAAAAATTTTTAGAAGCATTTTTTTATTGCAATTGACTTGTTTAAAAAATTTTTAAAATTGACAGTTGACGGCTAACTTCGGTATCATAAAAATTAATTTAGCAGACATTTGATAATTTTAATGACATTTTGTGAAAATTAAGTTAGCCGACATCTTAAAATTTTCAGATTTTTTTTTTATTGAAAAAGTAATTACAAAAAAAATAAAAAAAAATTATATTTCTAAAAAACTTTAGAAATTCTAAGTGCAATTTTAAAAAAATATTTTTTTGTTCTAATTTAATTAAAAAAAAAATTAAAAACGTCGGCTAACTTTATTATTATGATATTTTCGTCAAGTAAATTGTGGCAAAAATAAAATAAGAAAAAAAATTGACATGTAGAAATTTAAAAAAAAATAAAAATGCTATTCTTAAAAATAATTTTTTAGTAAAAATTTGTTTATTAATTAAAATCAGAAAATTGTCAAGTGACTGATAACTTTAATGTCATAATATATTTTTATAAACTTTAGATAATTTTTTTATTATTATTAATATCAATTTTTATATTTTTATACTGTTAAAAAAATTTTATAAAATGGAGAGGCATCTGATACTTTTTAGAATTTTTTTGACAAATAAATTATAACAAGACAAATTTATTTAAAAAATTTTTAATTTAGAAACTCAAAAAAATTATATATAAATAAAATTTTTTTAAATAACTTTCTCGACCTAGGTTATTTTTCAAGAAAAATAAAAAAATTTTCAAGCGGCTGATTTTGATAAGCCTCATAAAATTTTTCAGTTCTTTTAAAACCTATTTAAGATAATAAATTTGACGTACAGCTTCTTGTCTAAATTATTTAAAATTAAAAAAAAAATTTATAATAATTTTTTTGAGGGTTAAAAAGTTGTTTTTAATTTTTCAAAAAATTTTAACTAACTTAATTTAATAGATTTGAAGAAATTTATGAAACAAATTTCATAGTTTTCTCTTGTCAAATTATTATTATTCAACTCTTAGATTCTATAATAAAAATATTAATAAGATAATTGATAAATTAGGTATAAAAATCATTTCTAAATAATTGCATAGTAGTTTCAAAAAATTTTTGTCATAATTTTTTTGATTGAAAAATTATTAAAAAATAAAATTGTTGGTTGAATTAAATATCGTGGGAATAAAAAAATTCACATATTAAATACTAAAAAGAAATTTGTGGAATTATTATTATTATTTATTTTTTTTAATTAAAATATATTGCAATATTGAATAATTGAAATTTTTTTATGAATATGACTGTTGCAGACTGATAATTTCTTAAAAGCATATAAATAATAAAATTTCTAAAAATGTGAAAAAATGCACTTGGAGCTTTCAATAAATTCGCTCTGTGCAATTAAAAAAATTTTTTTTTCCGACCATTAAATTTAAGTTTATTAAAAAGTCTATATATAAAAATTGACTGTCGGTTAAATCTATAGTTGTATTTTCGGAATTATTCCCTTAAAAAAATTAAAAAGTATGTCAAAAATTTTAAAAATTAGTTAAATTCCTAAAATAATTATTTTTATAATTGTTGAGAAAAATTTACAAATATTGACAGAAGTTATTCGAGAAAAGAAGTAAAACTGGTGACAAACAAATTAGTAAATATTCGGTAGTTAATACGTAGCAATTAGTGC